TGAGGGAAGTGACAAATACACACACACACACACACACACACATATACATACACATACGTGTGTGTGGCAAATACATAAATATATATGACTTTTTAGTATATATATGGCAAATCAATATACATGACATATATATGCTATGTATATATAGCAAATATATAAACATTTTAGAAGATCTTCTTGTATCACAATGAAATGCAATTATTTACTATTATTTATTTTAAGATAGAAGTGGTAAGATATGGTTGCCTTTAAAATTTCAAATTACTTGAGAAATTACCAATGTGCATTTTTTCTAAGCAACATGTATAAAGTAATAGATAAACCTTACTATAATTGTGTTTGAACATATTGTCCAAAAATGATGTATCGATAATGCTGACATTTCCAAATGATCATCTCGAAATTAAGCCAGTGTCATATAGACAATAACATATCAAAAGAGAAGGGGAAATAAACAAAGTCACAGAGAATAAATGATAGGAAATGCATTTTAGGGTTGGACACAGTGGCTCATGCCTCTAATTCTAGTATTTTGGGAGGCTGAGGCAGACGGATCACTTGAGGTCAGGAGTTTGAGACCAGCCTGGCCAATATAGTGAAACCCCTTCTCTACTAAAAATACAAAAATTATCTGAGCCCGTAGTGCACACCTGTAATCCCAACTACTCAGGAGGCTGAGGCAGGAGAATCACTTGAACCCAGGACAAGGAGGTTGCAGTGAGCCAACATCCGCCACTGCACTCCCGTCTGGGCGATAAGAGCAAGATTCTGTCTTGGAAAAAAAGAAAACAGGCAGTTTAGGAAGATGCAGAAAAAAATCATCAGACACAGGGAATTGAAGGAAGTGGAACAGATGTACACCAACCAAACTAATCACTCCGCTGGTCCCAGCGTGGCCAAGAGGTGTCATGTCTGAGATCAGAGTGAGGGCCAGGCCTAACCAAGTGTGGCGATCTGTGTGGTAAAGAACCCCATATAAAAACTAAAAAACAAATTTTGGGAAAAGATAGGCCCTGAACTGGGGTGAATGGTGGCATGCAGACAATTCTTTTCTTTTTCTCCATTGTTGTTTAAGCCACTCCTTTTCCAAATATTTGCTTCGTGTAAATCCTGATTCCTCCCTGGATTAAGTCTTTTTACTATATGTCATTTGGTATTGTAGGGAGAACAAATGCTGCAATTGTAGTATTTGGAATATGCTTTTGTCATGTTTCATTGTCTATCATCTCTTCCGGTTTGAGGATGCTGATAATATTACCTTTTCCCACAAGTAGTTTTAATGTTCAAAGGAAGAAAAATGCCAGCCAAGTTATCCTTATTTAATTCAATTAGTTCCTTCTATTCTACAGGTACATGCTGAGGCCAAGAAGTGTCATGTTCTTTGCTGGTTTCTGGGGATACCTAGAGTAGGTCTCCCTGGCCATGTGACAGTTACGTACACTAATCGCAACACTGTATGATAGAAACTATAATGGAGATATCTAATCAATTATATGACAAATCAGATGAGAAAAGTGTTGATTCTCCCCCAAGGGACATAGTTGAGCTGAGTGGAAAGAATAAGACATCATATGTCCACTGTGGAGGAGAACGGGGCAAGCAGGAAGTGAAAATATCAGAAAAACATAGAGAAGTGGCTGATCACAGTGCACTCAGGGATGGATCTGGTATGGACAAAGGAAAAGGGCCCGCATTCGGGGCTAATCTCACTGTCCTCTGCAGAGGTCTTTCTCTCAACTCCTAGAAAAACTAAAGGCACAGAGAAGCTACTTTCAGAGAAACCGTGGAGGCCAGAAAACAGTGCTTCGTTCTCAGAGGGAAATGTGTTACACTGACTTCTTTTCTCCTGGGAAGAGGCGAGCAAGGGAAAGAGGAAGATCTCTCTTGTTCTCTATCTGAAACCTGCTAGGGCTTTTCTTTGCCTTCTAAATATAGTTCAGCCTCCTGAACAGCACATACAAATCTCTTCATAATATGAAACTAGCGTAGTATCTATTTGCTATGTTTCCAGGTTTATTATGGCACAAGAGTCATCGTTTCAAGAACTTCTTGGCAGAAGCTGAGGTAATAAATAAATAAATAAATAAATAAAATAAAACTTGTAGAGTTGAAGATGCTTGCCTTTAGTAAAAACACCAAATTCAAGATTAACATGTTATAAAACCACGGTTTTTGCAAGTTGAGGCGCTTGAACACTTCAGACTTGAGAAATGACTGAAATTGGGAAGTGCCGGGACAACACCCCCCATTTCGCCCTCTCCAGAGGCAAGAAGGCAGTGGACTGGGAACTCCTAACTCTAAACATACCAAGTGCAGGTGAGAGCCCTGTTGCTGAGGCAGGTCCTTTGGCTTCTGAGAAGAGAAGCATTGTGGTGCATCTTAACAAAAGACTAATTTTTATTGCGTTGTTAGCTTGGAGGACAAGAAACATTAAAAGATTTGCAAGAAACAGGTCAAGGAAAATACAATTCGGTAGAGAGCTGAAGAAGGAAGCTGTGACTTTAGCCCTGGCAGCAATCTGAATGTGGTCAAAGAAGCAGTGACTCTGCAGAGCTCTCACCACAGAGGAGATGACAACCTTCGGCGAAGACGGAAGTTAGAACAGCTGCTTCCTACTCTGAGGGGACAAACAGCCACATGCACTGAAGGACACATACAAAGTCCCCTGAGACATGAGTAATGTGTGAACGTGTGTGTGTGGCATATGAAAGATTTTGTTTCTTTTCTTTTTTCTGTTTTTTTTTTGTTTTGTTTTGTTTTGTTTTTTTTCTGAGACGGAGTCTTGCTCTGTCACCCAGGCTGGAGTGCAATGGCGCGATCCCAGCTCACTGCAACTTCCGCCTCCCAGGTTCAAGCGATTCTCCTGCTTCAGGAGTAGCTGGGATTACAGCGTGCGCCACCAACACCAGCTAATTTTTAAAATTTTTTTTAGTAGAGACAGGGTTTTACCATGTTGGCCAGGCTGGTCTCAAACTCCTGACCTCAGGTGACCCACCAACCTCGGCGTCCCAAACTGTTGGGATTACAGGTGTGAGCCACCACGCCCAGCCTTGTTTCATTTTTATAACAATAAGCTAGATGCCAAAAATGCATGCTCATGTCAATGACTTTCTTGATAAGTCAATGTTAAGGCCACTCTTGGGGCCATACATCCCACATCATCTTCATCATCATCTCTAGAACTCACAAGTGAGCTCGTCATCACCCCCTTAGTGCTCATTCTTGGGGGTACATTGTCATTCCCATCACAGCAAACAGCTCCACGGTCTACACAGTAAGTTGGACCAGAAACCCAGAAGTCATTCTAGACATCTCTTTGCGTCTTTACTTTAACATACAGATTACAGTTTACATCTATGTCTTTGTTTACCTTTTTCTGTAAAAAATTGATATAGCTACTCCATCACCAGAGTGTAAGCTCATTGAGAAAAACCCTTAATCCCATTTCTGTATGTCTAAGACTTCATGCACCATCTTGAACACAAAACATGTTTGTGAGCTGAAATAATACTTTTACACCCAAAAAGGTTTAATTATATACCACATAATGTATGTAAGCATTTAAGCATTTTCACGTTGTTTTTTCTTTTATAAAGGTCAAAGATTTTAAATGTTCATAGTCAAAGATCAACACTCCTGTCCTTTATAGGATGGTTTGTTCTATAATGGCTATGCAGAGTAAAAAGTTCTATTGGACTCTCCTGCAACACTGACAGGTCAGATATTTTCACTCACTGGCAGTAACACCTCAAAGTGTCATTCAGGCCTGAGGATGGTGCCTTTTCTAGTTGGGAGGTGTTCGGATCATCCATATTCTCAAACAGGCTCACTCAATAATTACACAGCACTATGTATCTGAAGGCAAAAAAATTAATAACTCTTCTAATTAGTGCAAAGAGAATTGTTTCTAGATTTATCCACCAAATGGTATTCCATTACACATAAATAAATCACGATTTTCATCCTTAAGAGTCTCCTATTCTAAAAATAGAAAAGACTGACACACCTAGAGATAGATAAGAATGTAGACAAACACAATGAGTATTTCTGACTTCATTCCAATGGAAACATTCCAAACTAAATTAAGAAATTTCTAGCTCTCTACTCTCTTCTTTCTTAAAGCTTCCTCCCTCTTTTTTTTTTTTTAAGGAAAGAAATAATTATTTATTTTGATCTTATCTTTTGATTAATCCTATTCTTCCATCATTCTTTTTCTTTCATTACTGTCATGGCAGTAGGAGATTAAGGGAAATTTCTCAATGCAAATGATGGTGTGGTAATTTTCCATCTAATTTTGACACTTTTTTTTTTTTAAATAAAAAGGTTCCTTATCACTTAGAACCATCCTGCATTTTAATTTTCTTTGTCTTCATTCCTATTCACATGTCCCCTTGAATCAAACTTTTTTGAGAAATTGAAACCACTACTTTTCATTACAGAATCACTTCATTGCATTTGGTTTGAGTGGTTGATCTTTGCTTGTGAGTTTCTTGAGCCAGGCTTCATGTGTTGAGCGTAGTTTATGCACAGGGCTCCTGAAACATGAAAACACCTTCCCTCTCACACTATGTCAAGTTTTGGCTGCCATTTTTCTGTAAGGTTAGCTGTAGACAACTGCTTATTTAAAGGTAAATGTCCAACAGCGTATTTGCTTGATTGTTTATGATTGATTAATTTCCACTTAATCATTGAAACCAGAACCAGCTGCTTAAAACTGTGACAAAATGGTGTTTTACTCATTTTCTAATGAGTCCAATGTAGTTATTTCTTTTTTTGATGAAGTAAAATGTCTCTGATGAAGTTGATTTGTAACATGCATTTATTGCTTTGTTTTCTCTTCAATGCCTCATTTATCTCGGTGGTAGTATAAATGGGAAATACATGGAGACCCATTGTCTAACCACTTATGGTGCTCTGAGGGTGAGGCTTAGTACCAATGAACAGAGACCCACAGGTGGCTTCTTCAGAAAGAGAGAAAATGATTTGCCTTTTAGATTTGCTCAGCTTGCATTTCATTTATTCTGTAAAGAGCCAACAATTACACATACACTTTGGTTCAAATTTAATTTATGCCATTTGTTGTTAAAAATGACACAGTATCTGTTCTATTTACCAGGGGGCTGTTGAACAAGGCTGGCCAGTTTTCTTTGAATTCCAGTATTTTCATGCTATGGGGAATTAGGTGTTTAGCTCAGATTCGTGTTTGCCCAATGCCCCGCTGTCAAGACTGGACATCCCAGGACACTCCAACAAACATCTGGTCTGAGGATGCAGTTCTGTTAAAAATAGCAACAACAACAACAATCTGAGGAGTAGCCGGTATTGCAGTTCCACTTTCATGTTTGCTGACAGTCTCAGGTGGCGTTCTCTAGTGCACCTGAGACGAAGACATAGAAGACAGTTTGCTGAGTCAACCCAGGAAATACACATGAGGGCAACGGGAAAGGGACGGATGGCAGTGGGGAAGGAGGAAAGAGAGGAGTCATGCCCTGGGTAGCTAGGGCATTTGTCCCCCTACCCACACCCTGAGGGTCTTATATGTCCCCAGCAGTCCCAGCTGCCTAGCATGCTGGCTGGGCAAGCTGGCATATCTTGGGCACCTGAGAAAAACCCAGGCAGGGCCGCTGAGAGAGAAGTTGCCAGGTGCTCAGAAATTGACCTCCGCCAACGTAGAAGTGAGCTCAGGTACAACGGACATAGAGCATCTGCTATGCTAATGCATGAAGCTTCCTTGCAGAAACCTGGGTAAGCCTTGTTCTTAGGGCAACTGCTTTGAAGATACTGCAAATTGGATGTTAGCTTTACTGGCGTTCTCATCTGAGAAATGTCTGTCCTGTCTGGAAGAGAATGGCATTGCATCCCAGGCAAATTACCGACAGTGATGAGTGGCAGTATGGTCTTGCAGGGAAGAACACAGGCTCAGGGGCCTAACTGCCTGAGTGTGAATGCTGACTTTAACACTTACCACCTGTGTGATATTGAGTCAGTTACTGAATATCTTAGTCCCAGGTCCACATCTGTAAAGCAGAGAGAATTAGAGTGTCTGTCTCTCAGAGCTGTTGGGAGGACCAATGGAGATCCTAAATATAAAGCTCTTAGCACGCTCACTGGCACACTGAAGCAAAGATGAGCTGTTATCATGATGAGGTAGTAACGTCTGCTGCTACTTCTCAGCTGAAGGGATGTACAGTTGAGAAACTGGTTTTATTGTTAAAAGCATATTGCTAACAAGCCCCCAAAAGACAAATACTGCATGATTCCACTTATGTGAGGTACTTAGGGTAGTTACATTCATTGAAACAGAAAGTGGTTACCAGGGGCTGGGAGGAGAGGAGAATAGTTATTGGTTAACGGGTATAGAGTTTCCATTTTGCAAGGTGAAAAAGTAGTGGAGATTGGTTTCACAACTTTGTGAATATACTTAACACTACTAAACTGTACATTTAAAAATAGACAAGAAGGTAGATTTTATGCATTTTTTTTAACCACAATAAAAGGTTAAATATTTTAAATAACATTTTGTAGAGGGGCTGGGTGTGGTGGCTCACGCCTGTAATCCCAATACTTTGGGTGGTCGAGGTGCATGGATGACTTGAGCTCAGGAGTTTGAGACCAGTCTGGGCAACATGGAGAAACCCTGTCTCTACTAAAAATACAAAAATTAGCAGGTCATGGTGGTGCATGCCTGTAATCCCAGCTACTCAGGAGGCTGAGGTGGAAGGATCACTTGAGCCCAGGAGGCACAGGTTGCAGAGAGCTGAGATCGTACCACTGCACTCTAGCCTGGGTGACAGAGCCAGACTCTGTCTCAAAAACAAAACAAAACAAAACAAAACAAAACAGAAAAGCATATCATTGATAAGCTTCATCAGCCATCATTTGGACATTATATTTATCAAATGGAATCTGTAGTCTATTGTGAGCATTGCTCTCATTTCGTGGTCATCTACTTCGACACTGGAATCTGGAAGACATTTCAGATCACCCTGTGTGTAGAATCCATGTTCCCCAAAATGCCATTAAAATGATTCATGTGGGGCACGCAATTAAAGACTCCAACCAGTGAAGAGCTTCACTGCCTGCCACAGAAAGTCAAAGCAGTTGTTTTTAATATAAATGCTGCCTCTTAAACAGTAAGGTTCCAATAAAGTCAGGAGGATACAAGAAAAACAAAATTCAGGAGCTTCTGGATAACTGAACATGTGGAGGTTCCTGGAGGATGGCAAGTCCAGGGAAGGCATGGAGACCCTGCGCCCCTTCCTGCATTCCTTACCCTGTGCATCTCTTCATCTGCATCCTTTGTAATTCCTTTATAACAAACCAGTAAAAGTAAAACAAACGAACAAACATAATTCAGAGGGTTTGCAGATTGAGACAGATAACTCTGCGTTCAGTCAGCATTCACATTCAGGATAAATTCAATTTTCTGACTGCAAATTCAGGAATGTGGAAAGCCAGTTCTTTAAAAAGAAAGATCAATGTACAAAAGATGATGTCAGGCCAGGCGTGGTGGCTCCTGCCTATACTCCCAGCACTTTGGGAGGCCGAGGCAGGTGGATCACTTGAGGCCAGGAGTTCAAGTCCAGCCTGGCCAACATGGTAAAAGCCCATCTCTACTAAAAATACAAAAATTAGCTGGGCATGGTGCGCGCCTGCAATCCCAGCTACTCTGGAGGCTGAGGCATGAGAATCACTTGAACCAGGAGGCAGAAGTTGAAGTGAGCCAAGATTGCACCACTGCACTCCAGCTGAGTGACAGAGACTCTGTCCTCAGCCTCCTCCCCAAAAAAGATGTCATATAAATTCAATCAGAATAAAGTCCAAAACTACCGAAGCAACCCGGGGCAGTGAAGCCCCAGGAGTTGTATTCTAGCTGTAGGTCCCAGGATGAGAAGACCTGCAATCCTGTAGAACACTTAAGTGACTAAGAAGGAAGTAAATTGTAGGCATGACCCATTATTTACTAGTATTCTCACTTTTAAAGAATTTTCTCCGAGGGATTTTTGCAATTAGCAAGATCACGATGATATCAGAGAAGTACAGAACAATCTCTCAAAAGTGTCCCTTGAGATGGTAATGCCTGGGCGTGGCCCCCATTTCCCAGGCCTGGTTCTTGGTTTCAAAATCCAATTTTTTTACTTTCCAGTTCTTTCAAATCTAAGGACCAGACTCTGAGAAATGACATGCAATCCTCTAGGTTGTCAGTAATATTGGACTGTAGGATTGTAGGATTTTTCCTAGGTGATTATACATATTTTCTGAAACTGACTTAGGTTAATCAAATTTATAAAAGACTGATATATACAGTAGACTTACAATTTAATAATTTGCCTGGAATCCAGACCCCAATTTCTTTTCCTTCCTTCCTTCCTTCCTTCCTTCCTTCCTTCCTTCCTCCCTCCCTCCCTCCTTTCTTTCTTTCTTTTCTTTCTTTCTTTCTTTTTCTTTCTTTCTTTCTTTTTCTTTCTTTCTCTCTCCCTTCCTCCCTTCCTTCCTTCCTTCCTCCCTCCCTCCCTCCCTCCCTCCCTCCCTCCCCTCTTTCTTTCTTTCTTTCTTTCTTTCTTTCTTTCTTTCTTTCTTTCTTTCTTTCTTTCTTTCTTTCTTTCTTTCTCTCTCTTTCTCTTCTTTCTTTCTTTCTCTTTCTCTCTCCCTTCCTCCCTCCCTCCCTTCCTTCCTTCCTTCCTTCCTTCCTTCCTTCCTTCCTTCCTTCCTTCCTTCCTTCTTTCCTTCCTTCCTTCCTTCAGAGTTTTGCTCTTGTTGCCTAGGCTGGAGTACAGTGGCACGATCTTGGCTCACCACAACCTCCGCCTCCTGGGTTCAAGCGATTCTCCTGCCTCACCCTGCTGAGTAGCTCGGATTACAGGCATGTGCCACCACACCCGGCTGATTTTTTGTATTTTTAGTAGAGATGAGGTTTCTCCATGTTGGTCAGGATTGTCTCAAACTCCCGGTCTCAGGCAATCCACCTGCCTCGGCCTCCCAAAAAGCTGGGCGTGAGCCACCATGCCAGTCACAGACCCCAATTTCTTATACCCAATGTCAAGATATTAATTGGAAGACTGCTTATGTACGTGGAATTAGAAATAAAGAGGGTGGGATAATCTTAAGACCCATATGAATCAGAAAAAAAAAAATCACCCTTATCTTCCAACAGCCTATACCTCTCTAGTGATTTTAATATATGGCTTCAGTTGGCAGTATTAGATTAACACTAATAAATTCTCAATCTCTACTATAATATCCCCTTTTGAAGCTCCAGTCAGACCATCTTCTCTTAATACATTTGCCCAGACAGGATAACCTCATTAGGCTCCAGCTTTCTTAGTTACGATCACATTCTTTCCCTGCTTTCTTTAGATAACAATGAGACGGACTTTTTGGGCTTGGATCTTGCCCAAACTCTCCCATGTATTTACTGGAAATCTCTTGGCTTCTTTCTGCTGATTCCATTTGGGTCAACTGGTCTACTTTCACTTTGGATGAGAACAATTCCTTAGGATGTCTCACTTAAGAGGATCAAACTATTTACGACCATTCTTGAAGTTTGCAAAGGCTTCTGCTGTGCAGCAACAGCAAAGGAATTAGCATAGGCATGAAATAGGACTGTTTTGCTACCTATGGCATTTCTGATATCTAGCACAGTGCCTGAAGCATAGTAGGCATTCAGTAAGCCTCATATGTATGTTGTGATTGCTGCTACCATAGAAAGTTGAGTTCACAGAAATCCCTGCTTCCCCTTACTATTACTCTACAATGCATTCCCCTGGATCATGGATTACAAAGCAAAATGAAGCAGATAACTTCTGAATAGTACCTGGTATGCAGTAGGAGCTCAGGACATTTTCATTCAATAGACTTGGTTTACTCATCATGGAGTCATCAGTGCCTCTGTTAAATAAGCAAGGAGCCATCAGGAAATAGCACGGCGGGTGATGTCAATTGAAGTCACTTGAATTCTAATTCTAACTCTGTCACTTCACTAGGTATGAAAAGATGAGTCATTTATCCATTCAGAGTCTTCTCAATTTCTGCATTTGTAAAATGGAGATGATAGTACCTAATTTTGCAAGGGAGTTGAGAAGAAAATGCATGGCAAAGAACCCTGTGGTGATACCTGGTAAGATACAGGAACTCAGTAAATACAAGTTCCCCATTGTAACTTTCTGTGGTTTTCCTCAGCTGTTCTGTGGTCCTCGATCTTCCCAGCTGTCCTGTCCACTTGTTGTTGGATCCCAATGAGCCAACTCAGTAGCTCTTAGCATTGGATCTCAGTTGGGCATGTTACTTCTAGTCTCATTTCTCCTGCCTGGCCTTCCCAGTCCTGACCTCTCTTACCCACTGAATGTCAGATCTGGAAGAAAGTCTGAAGTCATAGAACCCTGACCCCTTAGGGACTGTGGGGTGTTTCCTCTTCCTCTGCTTGCTCCTCTCAGTACCTTGCTGGGTCTGGGTGAAGCAAATATCATGGGGTACCATAGTCACAGAGCAGCACTACCAGTGCTGAGCTTAGAGCCTGTAGATCCAATTCTACCCCCACTAACTTCTAGCACAGCTCAAAAGATTGAAAAAGACCCTGTAGTTTTAGGGTTTTCCAAATATCCAAGGATCTAGATCTGGATTTAGATCTGGCACTCTAAGGATTTCTATGTTATTTTATAGATATCCGAGATGAAGAGAAAAAAATATGAATTTGAAACATTCAGCATCACCATTTTAGGCTGTCACACCAATGTTATTAGTATTAATTCCTCTAAAGAAAGAAAGAGGTGGCCGGGCATGGTGGCTCATGCCTGTAATTCCAGCATTTTGGGAAGCTGAGGTGGGTGGATCACCTGAGGTCAGGAGTTCAAGACCAGCCTGGCTAATATGGTGAAATCCCATCTCAATTGAAAATACTAAAAATTAGTTGGGCATGGTGGCGGGTGCCTGTAATTCCACCTACTTGGGAGGCTGAGGCAGGAGAGTCACTTGAACCCAGGAGGTGAAGTTTGCAGTGAGCTGAGATCACGACACTCACTCCAGCCTAGGTGACAAAGTGGGACTCCGTCTGGAAAAAAAAAAAAAAAAAAAGGAAGAGGATTGAAAGATCGAAGCAGGAATTCCTGGCCTTGCCGGGCTACTGCATATGTTTAATTCTTTCTTTCCATAAAAGTAAGCCTTGACCAGTCCCAACCTCCTCTCCAGAGTCCAGACAAATGGGAACCTAGTGTGTTGGATCCAGACTGGGATTCAGAGTTCAGGAAATATCATCCTGGCCCTGGGGTCAGGAAAGTGGGGAGAGGGTGGTTTCCGGTGAGGGGATAGTCTGCTCTTTGTGTGGCAAGTGAGGAGTCATGGATGACCTAAAGAGTAGCAGTGTGTGTGTAAGGAGCCAAAGCCCAAACACAGAAAACGCCCAGCCCAGTTGATAGTCAGAGGAGCTAAGGTGGAAGGTAGAAGATGAACTAGGGAAAAAAGACCACAAGACAGAAGATTTGGAGTAAAGGAAAAAAGGTGGAGCCTGTCCTTCCAAGAGGCTGCAGGAACACTTTGTAGCTACCTTCTACAGGCCATCTACCTTGCCTGAAAGGGAGTTCCAGAGCTCAATTGTGAAGCACCGATTGTTATCAGCCAAGAGCATCTGTATTAATTTTCTCTTGCTGTGTAACATATGATCACAAATATGGAGGCTTAAAACATGTGATGGTTAATACTGAGTGTCAACTTGATTGGATTGAAGGATGCAAAGTATTGATCCTGGGTGTGTCTGTGAGGCTGCTGCCAAAGGACATTAACATTTGAGTCAGCGGGCTGGGGAAGGAAGACCCACCCTCAATCTGGTGAGCACCATCTAATTAGCTGGCAGCTAATATAAAGCAGGCAGAAAAACATGAAAAAGAGAGACTGGCCTAACCTCCCAGCCTACATCTTTCTCTGGTGCTAGACACTTCCTGCCCTCAAACGTCGGACTCCAAGTTCTTCAGTTTTGAGACTCGGACTGGCTCTCCTTGCTCCTCAAGCTTGCAGACAGCCTACTGTGGGACCTTGTGATTGTGTAAGTTAATACTTAATAAACTCCCCTTTATATCTCACATATATATATATATCCTATTAGTTCTGTCCCTCTGGAGAACCCTGACTAATATGAAACAACACCCATTTATTAGCTCACAGTTCTTCAAGTGGAAAGTATAGCACAGCATAATGAAATTCTTTACTCAGGGTTTCCCAAGGCTGAAATCAAGATGTCAGACACATTGTCTTCTCATCTGTAGGTTTTGGGTGAAAATCCCCTTCCAAGCTTGTTCTTGTTGTTGACAGAATTCAGTTCCTTGTAGTTGTTGGACTGAGGTTCTCATTTCCTTGCTGTTGTCAGCTGGTGGTCACACACAGGCTGTCCTGAGATGTGACCCCCTCCGTCTCTAAACCAACAATGTATCCATGGAATCCTTCCTGTGTTTTGAATCTCTGGCTTCTTCTGAGAGGACACTGGAGAACATTCTTTTCTAAAGGACTTATGTAACTAGGTCAACGCCACTTGGACAATTTCCCTTCTTAAAGACAACTGCATCATATATCCCAACCTTATCACAGAAGTAAATTCCATCACATTCACAGCCCCAGGGATTACATACGAGGTATATATGGAGGATGGAGGGAAAGGAAATTTGGGGGACTATCTTAGACTTCTACCTATTAAAGCATCTCATATGATTTGTTTCATCAACAGGATACTTCCAGCTATTATTGACATATGAATCTGGGCTACATTATGCAAAAATTCATATATAAATATGTGTCAATGGTAATTCAGTTTGCTATTTTGAATTTGTGTCTCACCACAAAACTTGAGCTGTCAGGGCCAGGCGCGGTGGCTCAAGCCTGTAATTCCAGCACTATGGGAGGCCGAGACGGGCGGATCACGAGGTCAGGAGATCGAGACCATCCTGGCTAACCCGGTGAAACCCCGTCTCTACTAAAAAAATACAAAAAACTAGCCGGGCAAGGTGGCGGGCGCCTGTAGCCCCAGCTACTCGGGAGGCTGAGGCAGGAGAATGGCATAAACCCGGGAGGCGGAGCTTGCAGTGAGCTGAGATCTGGCCATTGCACTCCAGCCTGGTCAACAGAGCGAGACTCTGTCTCAAAAAACAAAACAAAACAAAACAAAACAAAACAAAACTTGAGCTGTCTCTGGACATATCAATTTCCTTTTGATGGCTGATAGAAAATCCAGAGTAGGGCATTAGCCAGGCAAGCCAGGGTCAGGGACTGGGCCTCAAAGAGCTGGAAATAGAGCAGGGCCTGCAGCTCAAGACAGCCAGGAGCTCTGGGGGAAAGTCCTAACCAAGTTAGTAGTGAATACTGAAATCCAGTCAGAAATCAGAATCCAAGTACTAGATCCAGAATCTAAGAGGCTAGAAAAGGGACCAAAATATGAGATGAAGGCAAAGGGCAGGAGCTTGGAAGCATAGAAATGGAATAGAGCAGCTAGAAGCCAAACACAGACAGGGACAAGGTGATTGCTTCAAATGCCACTGTCTGTCTGAGGGAGTCGAGGTAGAAAGAGATGTGGCCTCCGCCTCCTTGTGAAAGAAAAGGGCACCTACAGAACGGATCACTGACCATATTGACAAAGGAGCATTTGATGTCATCAAGGGACAAGGTCCACAGTAATATTTGCTTCTGACTGTTCTGGTCCCATGCAGGCAGTCAGCTCTTTTGCAGTCTGTCATGTGAGCATGTAGAATTCATAGACAGCACATTGCCTCATATTGTGACTGCCCTTTACCATGGCTGAGCTAGCCAAGCTCCTTTCTTCTACACTAAATCCCATCTGCTCTGATCTACTCCTGCAGTTCTCTCCCTTCTCTCTCCTCCATCATTTCCCCCTTCTTCTGGGTTATTTTGCATTATTTCTGTTGCCTAACAAAAGCCTTCTCTTGACCTCCCTTCACTCGCCCCATTTGTTTGCTCCCGTTGGCAGCAAAACTCTTTGAGTTATTGTTACTCTCTGTCTTTCATTCCTCCCCCTAGTTCCCTCTTTAGCCCATCTGTTGTCATTTAAATGTGTCTCTCAACAAGCATGTGCAGGAAACTCAATCTCAATGCAACTGTATTGAGAGGTGAGGCTTAAAGGGAAGAGTGTAAGTCGTGAGGACTCCATTCTTATGAATGGATTAATGCCAATCATAAAAAGGGCTTGGGGCTGCAAGTTCAATCTCTCTCTTGCCTGCTCTCACCCTCTTGTCTTCCACCATAGGATGATGTGGCAAGAAGGCCCTCACCAAATGCCAGTACATTGATATTGAACTTTCCAGCCTCCAGAACTGTGAGAAATACATTCTTTTCTTTATAAATCTGCCGATCTGTGGCATTCTGTTGTAACAACACAAAACAGACAAAGATACCATCCGAATAGGATTTCATTCCCAGTCCCCCTCTTACTGAGGTCATCAGTGACCTCTACATTGTGAAATACATTGGTTGGCTCTCAGGCTTCATTTGACTCTGCGAATCACTCCACATTCTTACACATTCCTCACCTGCTGTTCAGGACTGCACACTCGTTACCCTGGGGAGGGCACCAAGCCATTCATGAGGGATCCACCCCCATGACCCAAACACCTCCCACTAGGTCTGATCTCAAGATCACATTTCAACATGAGATTCAGAGAGACTAACATCCAAACTATATCACACTCCTTGATATTTACCCAAGTCAGTTGAAAACATGTCAACACAAAAACCTACATAGGATGCTTCTAGCAGCTTTATTCATAATTGTTAAACTTGGAAGCAACTTAGATGGTCTTTGGTTCAGGATAAATGAACTGTGGAACAACCAGACAATGGAGTATTTTTCACAGCTAAAAAGAAATAAGCCATCAAGTCACTAAAAGACATGAAAGAAACTTAAATGCATATTACTAAGTGAAAGAAACTGTATTAGGGTTCTCCAGAGAGACAACAAACAGGTGATAGACTGATAATAGATTTGATGGATGGGATAGATAGATAGGTAATAGATTTGATGAATGGAATAGATAGATTAGATGGATAGATTAGATTGATTAGATATATAGATAGATAAATAGATTAGATGGATTAGAGAGAGAGATAGAGAGGCAGATTCGATGGATGGGATGGATAGATGGATGAATAGATAATGGATTATATGAATGGGATAGACAGACAGACAGACAGACAGCTAGATAGATAATAGGGGATTTACTTTGAAAATTGCCTTGCATAATTATGGTGACTGAGAAATCCCACAATAGGCCATTTATAAGTTGGAGAACTAGGGAAGCTGATAGCATGGCTCAGTCCAGGTCCAAAGGCCTCAGAACCAAGGAATTTGATGCATAACTCTGTTAGATGCCAAAGGCCTGAGAAACTGAAGGGTTGCTGGTACAAGTCCCTAAGTCTAAAGCTTATAGAACCTGGAGTTCTGATGTCCAAGGGCAGGAGGAGGAGGGTGCCCCAGCTCCAGGAGAGATAGAGAGAGACAGAGAGAGAATTCACCTTTCCTCTGCCTGCTTGTCCTATCTAAACACTGCCCTCATTGGTGAGGGCAGATCTTCCTTAGTCTACTGATTCAAATGCCAACCTCTTCTGGAAACATCTTCACAGACACACCCAGAAATAATGCTTTATCAGCTATCTGAGTATCCCTTAATCCAGTTGAGTTGATAGCTAAAATTAACCATCACAGAAACCAATTGGAAATGGCTGCATACTGTATGATTCCAACTCCATGGCATTCTGAAAAAGTAAAACTATGGAGACAGTAAAAATTTCTGTGGTTACCAGAGGTTGGTGGGGGAGAAAAGGATGAATAGGTGGACCACATAGGATTCTTCTTAGGGTGATGAAACGATTCCATATGATACTACAATGCTAGATACATGTCATTAAACTTGTCAAAAAACACAGAATGTACAAAACCAGGAGGGAACCTTGATGAAAACTGTTGACTCCGGGTGATAATGGTGTGTCATCACAGGCTCATTGACTGTAAAAAATGTACCACTCAGGTGGCGGATGCTGAAAATGGTGGACACTGAGCATGTGTCGGGGCAGAGAGTCTATAGGAACTCTGTGTGCCCTCTGCTCAATTTTGCTAAAAACTTAAAACTGCTCTAGAAAATAAAGTTCATGTTTAATAAATAAATGAATAAATATAGTATGTTTTTTTTAAAGTCTCCAGACACTGCCAAATGTCACCTGAGGCCAAACTTGCCCCGGGTTGAGAATCACTGAATAAATTTTAGGCAAGTTATACAAACAGCAGTTATAAATAGTGACGCGGTGATAAAGGAGACAGTAGGTGATGTGATCAAGAGTTAAGAGTCACTTTATGCAGCATAGTAGCTAACCCTCATTTAAGGCAGGAAATATTTAAGCTGAGGCTTGAATTCTAGAAGGAGTTAGCCATAGGGATAGAGAGAAGATATCCAGGCAAAGGGAGGAAACTTGCAAGGCTTTGAGGCAGGATGGTGACTGGGACAGCTGAGGTGCTCCCTGTAGAATAGTGACAAGTAGGGCAGCAGGAGATCAGGCCAGAGAGGTGCCTTCTGAGTCACATCAGGCTGCGCCATTTCCAGGCATGATAGGGGACTGGAAATTTAAACAGAGTGATGGCCAGCCCCAGAGGGTGTTAAATAAAGAATGTCATAATCTTACTCACTTAAAAAAAATGAGGGATTTAACATTGAAACCTTGACATGATGATCAATTTTATGTGTCTACTTGGCTAGGCTGTAGTGCCTAGCTTTTGGGGCAAACACTAATCTAGATCCTTCTACAAAAATTATTATTATTTTGAGATGGAGTTTCACTCTTGTTGCCCAGGCTGGAGTGCAATGGCGCAATCTCGGCTCACTGCAACCTTCACCTACTGGGTTCAAGCGATTCTCCTGCCTCACCCTCCCGAGTAGCTGGGATTACAGGTGTGCTCCACCACACCCGGCTAATTTTTTTTTTTCTTGTACTTTTAGTGGAGATAGGGTTTCACCATGTTGGCCAGGCTGGTCTCGAACGACTGACCTCAGGTGATCTGCCCTCCTCTGCCTCCTGAAGAGCTGGGATTACAGGCATGAACCACCGCACCCGGCCTATGAAAATTATTTTGTAGATGTGGTTAATATCTACAATCAGGTGACTCTGTGTAAGGGAGATTGCTCTCAGTAACGTGGGTGGGCCTTACCTAATTGGTTGAAGGCCTGAAGAGGAAAAATGAGGCTTCCTAGAGAGGAAGGAATTCTGCCGAAGACTCTAATATAGAAATTCTGTCTGAGTTTCCAACATCTGGGCCTGCCCTGCATATTTTGAACCTGCCAGCCCTCCCAATTGTGTGAGGCAATTCCTGAAATTAAATCTCTTAAGGTATATTGTTGGTTCTGTTTCTCTGGTGAGCCCTGACTGATGCACTTGGCTGCAAAGAAATTGTGGCCAATGATTAGATTTGATAAGTCCTTCAAGGACAAGGCCTGTGGCTTATTAAGCCATGAAATTTCACCTCTTCTCTTAGCAGCTTGGATAGATGAAGCTGACATTGAGGCCTGGATCCTGGGAAGGCCTGGAGGGCTAATATTTGGCAGCTAGAGAAATTGTGTAACCCAAATGCTCAGAGTTCGGAGACTTTGTGAGACTTTGAGACTCAACCCTGCATTCTGGGGCCATGTCTCTTTGTCATCCACTGCTCTGATGTGGAGCGTTGTATATCACAAGGGATCAAGAGGGAGCCAACTCCCAACTCTACGCCTGGTCCACAAAAGAGATCAGCAAATCTGCAGCACCGTGGACTCATTCAAAATCCGGTTCTTTCAATGGGTTGCTGGCCCAGTTATTTTTTCCACCGAGGCTGCATTTACCTTAGGCATGCAATCATTTATTCACCCTGCCCATCTTTCAACATATTTCTGCGGCACCTGCTGCTTGTAAGGTTCTATTCTAGGTCCTCAGGATCAGAGTAAACAGAAGCGAAGCCCTACCCTTATGAAGCTTTCATTCTAGTGGGGGTGACAGGTAGAAAAGAGGCAAACCAAAAAAACAAACGAAATGATTGCAAGTTGTGGCAAGCACTGTAAGGGAACCAAAAAAAAAGGGCGAGAAGGGAGTGGTTACAGTGTGGTTAGAGAAGGTGTCTTCAATTCACAAGTTGAAATCTGGAAAACAGGGAGAGGTTTGACCACGTGCAGGGTGGAGGAAGCATTCCAGGCAGAGGGTGCAGGGTTAGAAAGGCTCCAACGGAAGAAGCAGCTTCTCACTGTGAAGGATCTTGTGGACATAAATGAAGACCAAGCAAATGAGAAAAACAAAGGCTATTTATTCCAAGCTTGCGATAGCAGGGAGTCGGCTACCATCACTTGAGTTTTGGCAGAGGCTCAAAGGCAGGCAGAGGAGTGGGGAAGCTTTCATAGTGGAGAAAAGGGAAGGCTCTGAAAGTGTGCTGATCGGAAGCTGTTGGCGTGGGAAGCAGGAGGCAGCTCACTGGAAGTGGGGCATCTATGGGATGGGTTACAGGTGCACACCTGGCTTTCTCCGGTTGTTCCTCTGTTGGAAGTAGGGACAACAATTAGGGAAGCTGTCAGTTACTCATCAGTCAAGTCCTGGCCACTTTGGTCCTGTTATTGAGGGGTTCTTTTTTGGCTTCCTGGATCAGTTTCTAGAGACAGTGGTTTGGCTTCCTACAAGTCTAGCTTCTAGAGAGCAGGCTGGCTTCCTGGGCTGGTTCCTCCGGATAATGAACTGGCTTCCTGGGCTGCTTCCTCCGGACGATGGGCTGGGCTGCTTCCTGGGCTGCTTCCTGGCATGGGCTGGCTTCCTGGCTTCCTGGAGGGCTGGCTTCCTCCGGACGATGGGCTGGCTTCCTGGGCTGCTTCCTCCGGACGGTGGACTGGCTTCCTGGGCTGCTTCCTCCGGACAATGGGCTGGCTTCCTGGGCTGGTTCCTCTGGATAGTGGGCTGGCTTCCTGGGCTGGTTCCTCTGGATAGTGGGCTGGCTTCCTGGGCTGGTTCCTCTGGATAGTGGGCTGGCTTCCTGGCCTGGTTGCTCCAGGCTGTGGGTTAGAGTTCTGTTTTTTGTTTTTTGTTTTTTTTGAGACGGAGTCTCACTCTGTCACCCAGGCTGGAGTGCAGTGGCGCGATCTCCGTTCACTGCAAGCTCTGCCTCCCGGGTTCATGCCATTCTCCTGCCTCAGCCTCCAAGTAGCTGGGACTACAGGCGCCCGCCACCATGCCTGGCTAATTTTTTTGTATTTTTAGTAGAGACGGGGTTTTACCGTGTTTGCCAGGATAGTCTCGATCTCCTGACCTTGTGATCCACCCGCCTTGGCCTCCCAAAGTGCTGAGATTACAGGCGTGAGCCACCGTGCCTGGCCCAGAGTTCTATTTTTATTTATGGTCTGGCCATTGTCCATTCGTATAGTCAGATTCTCAAATCTGAACGCACACCTCTGTGTCGGGGAGTCTGAAGGTCTGGGGAGAGGGGCACTTGATGAGGCTGGAGAGAAGGCAGGGGCCCGATCATACCAAACCTTACAAACCGGTTACAAGTCAGGGCTGGAGTTCCTTCTCATATAATGGAGAGCTACTGAAGGGTTTTGAATAGAGGAGGGACCTAACTGGGTTTGTGTTTTAAAAGGAACACTTTTGCTGCTGGGTGCCTTATGAATTTGAGAGGCAGAGACGGCAGAGAACAGTCATGAGGTTGTTGCAAGAGTGCAGACATAAGACAACGGTAGCTTAGACTAAGGTGATGGTATCTCAGCTGCACAGGTGATTTGTGACCGGGAATCTTTTCTGAGCAGTTAATCATTTGGATGTAATTTAGCTACCTGTCTCTCTCCTATAGGGGGTGATTGAGCTGCATGTTGACTTGATAGTTCTATTTTGTATTATGAATGAATAAGTTGGCATTGCAGTGCACACATAAATCTGTCATGAGTTTATTTAGTATGAGCCAGTTGCTAATCACCATGGGTGCATTTACAAAATTATCATTAGATCCAATCAGAGCAGCACAGACACGGTGGCCACATTGTGTTCCTACCACACTGTTTGTGCAGCCATTTGGCTTCCCGAGAGGGCCCTGTATCTATCCCTATATCATCATTTGTATCTTGAAATCACACAAATAATAGTTATTCCTACTAACCTTCTTCTTGCTAGGCATTTATATCACTTCAGCATAGTTCTGGGTCTGATTATTCTGGCTTGTTTACTTTTTCATTCACTGAACACCTACTACATGCCAGGTACAAGGCTCAGCACTGGGAATATAATAGTAGACAAGACAGACACAGTTCCTGCCTCCCTTCAGTCTATATGGGAAAGTGGGGGTTGGGGAAGGGGTCTACATTAAACAAGCATACACTCAAGTGAATATATAATTATACATGTCTGTAAGTGCTATAAAGGAAAAGATCAGAGATCAAAATGATGGAAGTGGGGCTACTTTTTAGATTGCGTGATCAGGGAAGCAGTCATTGGTAAATATTTAAATTGAGGCATGAATGCAGTACAAATTTGGGGAAAGTGGGCATGAAGTCTCTGAGGAGGGAAGCGGAGAGAGAAAGGAAGCAGCGCTGGCTTGGTAAGTAAGGAGAGCAACTTACGAAGAAGGTGGAGAATGAATGTGTCTGGGCGAGAACTGCTGTCTTGAGGGTCAGCGCGGCACAATTCCCTTAAATAGAAATGGACAAGGCTATTTAAATTTTTAAAAGATCGCTGTGGTTGTTATATGGATGGGCTGGAGGGAAAGAAGTGAAGGCTGAGAGAAAGTTGTGAGGTCATGGTGGTTGTCCTGGTGAGACGTGTTGGTGGTAGGAGCAGGTATTGAAGGTAGAACTCCGTAGAAGGATTTGAGAGATGTTTTGGAAGTTGAATTAATGGAGATGTGAGGGAGAGGGAAGGGAAATAGAAAATATGATCCCCAGTTTCTGGTTTGAGCAATGGGTGGATGGCTGGAGAATTCTGTTTCTAGACTTCCCACATGGGTTTTCTTACGGAATTCAAAGACTTGCTTTTAAATGGTGTGATCATAGCTTCATCATCATCCGCTGCTTCTCAAGTATTTCCTCTAGTTTTGTGTTAGTTTTGTAGACTTACTCTGTGATTTTCACGTTACTTAATAGTTTATTTACACCTGGCTTTGTAGAACTGATCTCTTGCTTCTTAATTTAGTCTAATATTTACTTCCATGTGTACAAGAAATGCATTCACATAATTAAATTTGTTTTGCTTTTACCATTGCAATTTAGTGAACTCTAGGAGTGTGGTTGCGTGAGTCCACACCACCATATGAACAGTTAAGCTATTAAAGGGAGCTGTGTGGACCACTGGCCTCTTCCTCCCTACTTTGCCTTCCAACATAAAATTATATAGATATTCCTTCCATCAATTTACCTGACCTATAGCTCAAGGAACTGTGTTCATTCACATTTTCAAGCTTTACCAGAAGAACCTATTCCTTAATTTAATCTTAGATTAAATCTAAGATTAGTTTAATCCTAGATTAAATCAAGGAATACATATTTTTGGTTGCATATTCTACTTTTAGCCCATTTTTTCCCCTTTTAAGGTTGACCTTAAAAGTTGAACCGAACAGCTATATTTACATAAAGCTGCTCTAAATCATATAGAAGCTTATTTTTTACTTTACATTTTTAGTTCCATGTATCATAAATGAATATATTCCCAATGTAAAAATTCAAACCAAGAATTATATGAAACAAATCTAAATTAAAATATGTAAATTCTCCTTTGTCTCTATATATGTATGCATGCAAATATATGCATGTAATCATACTCTATCAACTGATATGCAACTTGTTTGTTACACACACAGCAAAATATATTGAAGATCTTTCCATAGCTATACATGTAATACTATCTCTTTCTTTTTTTAATAACTGAAAAGTATGTCAACGCCTGGATGTTCTATAGCTTTTTATTAGCCATTCTCCTTTTAAAGAATATTAATGCTGTTTCCAGTATCTTGCTGTTACAAACAGCTCAAATGATCTTTCCCATACATGCTTCTTTTGTACACATCTGAGCATTTTTGATAGATTCATAGAAATTAAGTTCTTTGGTCAAAAGTTATGTGCATCTTATCTACACCAACAATCTGTGTGAGTTTTTGATTTCATGTTCATACAACTGTCAACCCTGAATATGAATAATCGAAACATTTTTGCCAATTTAGTGAAAGCATCTGTGTTGTTTTAATTTGTATTTATTTCTTTATTAAGGATATATATATTTGATTATATACATTTACCATTGCCTTTTTGTTTAGTAAATTGCCAATTTGTATTTTTCCCCATTTTTCTGTTGAGTTGTCTTTTTATTTATAGAAACTTTTTATTTATTTTATATTCTAATTGATCTTTATATACATTAAAATGCTGTCAGTCTGTTCCACATCTTCTAATTTGTATATTTTATCACGTAAACATTTAAAAATTTTATGAAATTACATTTTTTCAGTTTTTCTCCTTAGACCTTGCAGGTTTTTTAATGCTAGGTAGAAAACTCTTTCCCAACTTAAGATGATAAAAAACCATCCTCTAGCTATTATTAAAAAGTCAGAAAACAACAATGCTGGAAAGGCTGCGGAGAAAAGGGGACATTTATTCACTGGTGGTGAGAATGTAAATTAATTCAGCCACCATGAAAAGCAGTTTGGAGATTTCTCAAAGAACTTGAAACAGAACTTTCATTCTATCCAGCATTCCCATGACTTAGTATACATCCAAAATAAAATAACTTGTTCTACCAAAAAGACATATGCACTCATATGTTCATTACAGCACTATTCATAATAGCAAAGACGTGGAATCAATGTAGGTACCCATCAGTGGTGGACTGAATAAAGAAAATGTGGTAATAGACATCATGGAATACTATGCAGCCATGAAAAATGTATGAAATAATGTCCTTTGCAGCAACATGGATGCAGCTGGAGGCCATTATCCTAAGCAAGCTAAATCAGGAAAAGAAAACAAAATACTGCATGCTCTCACTTATAAGTGGGAGCTAAACATTGGGTACTTGGGGACATAATGATGGCAACAAGAGACACTGAGGACTAATAGAGGAGGGAGGGTGGGGGGAAAGGTGAAAAACTAGCTGTTGGATACTATGCTCATTACCTGGGTGATGAAATCAGTTGAACTCCAAACCTCAGCATCACACAATACACCCAGGTAAGAAATCTGCACATGAACCCCCAGAATCTGAAATAAAAGTTGAAATTATCAAAGAAAGTCCTTCCGTGTTTTATCTTAATACTTTTTATAGATTAAGAAACGACTTAGCTCTTTATTACATTGGATATTTATTTTTGTACGTGGAGTTGGTTGGAGATCAGATTCCTGTTTCCAAAACATGTGGGTATTTAAATATCTGTTGAATAAATAAATGAGCTTAATTTTTTCCCAAAGGATTCAGATTATGCCAATACCATTTATTGAATAGCAAACCATTTCTTCACTACATGAAATTATCCTCAATATCCTCTACTAAATTCCCAGAGAGAGATAAGTCTGTTTCTGGCCCTTCATCATGTTCCATTGATACCTGCTTGTGCTCCTATGTTACCATTTTAATAGCTGTAGATTTCAAGTATGCTCTGATATTTGCTAGGGCCAGTTATTAAAATTCCTTTAGCTATTCTTACATATTTTATCTTCCATATGAACTTCAGAATCCATTTATGAAGCCCTATATAATTTGGTGAAGATTTTAAAGTTGGAATTACATCAAATTTATAGATAATTTGACATCTGTTTTATCTTAATTACTCTTGTTGTCATAAGACCACCATTATAATTAGAGATGTTTGATTCTCATTTCTGGAAAAATAAGAATGCTTGTCTTAATATTAGTGCTTAAGAATTGCTTAAAATAACTGGAAGTGTGTGTGTGTGTGTGTGTGTGTGTGTCTTGTGTGTCGTTAGATGTCTGTTAGTATGGTGCCTAGCAGAGAGAAGTCATTCAATCATTACTTGTGAAATAAATGTTATTATCGATTAAAATCTGCAAATTATTACAACTCAGTCTTTTTTGCAGCTTTTAAAATTGAAATAATTTTAGGCTTAGAAAACAGTTGCAAAAATATTCCAGAGAGTTCCTGCCTATCTTCACCTACCTTCCACTTATGTAAACATCCTATATAACCACAACACAATTACGGAAAGGAGGAGATCAACACTGATGTGACACAATTAATTGCTTCACAAACCTTCACACTTCACCAGTCTGTTTCACTAATGTCTGTTTGGATCTTGGACTGTATGGTATTTAATTGTCATATCTCCTAATCTCCTTTAATCTGTGACAAGTTCTCCTTGTTTCATCGCGGCCTTGATATTTTTGAAGAGTGCTGGTGGGTCATTTTGTAAACTGTCCCTTATTTTACAGTTGTTTGTTATTTTCTCAGCATTAGATTGAGATGATGCATTTCTGGTATGAATGCAGGAGTGATATTGCGTCCTCAGTGTAACATACCAAGACATACATGATGCTGCCGTCTTATAACTGATGATGTTAACTTTCAATACTGTATAAAGGTGGTTTTTGCTGTGTTTCTTCAGAGCAAAATTAGGATGTTCTCTTTTTAATTAATAAATATCTTGTGGGGAGATATTTTAATGCTACGCAAATATGCATCTCAGTTTCTTTTCATGGTCTCGCCCAGTAATTTTATCATTCTGGGGTTGTTCTTGTGTTTGCCTAATGGTCATTTTGTGTGTCCCTCATTTCTTTTATGTTTGTGAAATGAAGTTCCATTGTAAGGAAGAGTATTTTTTTCTTCCCTAGTGATTGATTAAGTATAGATTTTAGATATTTACTTTATTTGATGGGTTATAATCTGATGTTATCATTGTTTATTTTGTCACTCAAATTGTTCCAGCTTTGGCCATTGGGAATTCTTACAAATTGGCTCCTCTGTTCTTTTGACATGGTTCTATCATTTTTCAAATGTGTCTTTATTTTTTGGCACCACAAGATGTTCTGGGCTCATCTTATATCTTCCCTGCCAGAGCACTGAAATCAATAATTTCTCCAAGAAGTCTTTATTCTTTTTATCAGGGAATCATATTTAGAACCAATATCTTGGCTCTAGGTATGCTAATTGCTACTGGGTTGTCATTGTTTCTAGGTTTTTTTCAGCAGACAGAGCTAGGAAATATATGTTTGTATATTAATCTGTGCATAGGCACATATCTATATATCTTTGCTTATCTGTATATATATACATATGTACATATGCATATATACATATGCAAATATATGTGTATATATACACATATATACACATGCAAATATATGTGTATATATACACATATATACACATGCAAATATATGTGTATATACACATATATACACATGTGTATATATATATGTGTATATACACATATACACATATGTAAATATATGGGTATATACACATATATACATATGTAAATATATGTGTATATATGCATATATACGTGAACCATGAATTCATACTAATACCTTTAGTTTTAATACCATACCACACAGTTCATTCTATTCTCCCCACTTTCGTTATTTGTAACTTCTTTTCTCCAAAAGTGAAAAACCCATCATTGTCCACATTATATTTACATATTTGTTCAATCCCAGCATAAACTTAAGTAGTATTATGGACTTTTTTATTTAAAAAAACCCTCGGGTATTATTTGATATAATTCCTTTATTTTACAAATGAGAAAATCCAGGCCTGCAGTGATTAAGCCACCAGAGGGAAGAAATAAATTACCAGAAGAATTATAAATGTCAGGATTTTAAATTTTAATATTGTATATATTTTACAGGAGAGTTTAGAAAAGACAGGAAGTGTAATGTCAGGTCACTGCTGAGAAGAGGCATTAATTTATTTTTTTCCTCTACCGTTGCTATTTAACTGAAGCCATTCTAGTTAACACAGTAAGGCATTTGGTCAGCATGGCTTGTATGAATAAAATAGCCAAAGGTCAGAAAAATTAGACACCCTACTCACGTGGTGTTAAAACAGCCTCCGGAAAATGGAAGAACCAGTGTTCCATTATCATGTCTAATTTCCACAATTATAAATACAGTTTAATCCACAGAGGTCACTGAGGTTTTCAGATCTGGTTACGTGAAGTAGATGTAAAGCAGGGATTTTATTTCTTCTTTCTCTTATAACTATTATCAGCATCTTCTCTTTCATGACTCTATTTCAGTCACAGCAATTGAAAATTGTAAAGGTGAGATGAAGAGTATGCCTCCTGGAATACTCTTTTTTCCAACCTCTTTTTGGACAACCTCCAACTGTCCATTTTTCCAACCTTAAAATGGACAGTTATATGTCATGTTGAAAACCCTTCAACATGGGTTTCAACTTTAAATCCCTTCAGTGTCTCATCTCTCCTCTGCTATGGAGATTTGGGATCCTGTTTTAATGATGCATTAGGATTCGGATTTTCTTTGAGGCTGGAGGAGAGGAAGAGTGTATGCTCACTAAAAAGTGGGCTATGGAAAGAGGTGCTCATGAAGCATCTGGGAACTGAAAACGTGAAACTTGTTTCCCCGTAAAACAATGGCACATGTGATGATCAGGCTCTACTAACTGTTAATAACATAACGTATATATCTTGTGGGTTGAAACTTAAATTCCACATATATTGTTATTGCTGTGGGAAAATGTTTCCAAACAATCAACTTGGAATTCAACTCATAATTGGTGACACCCTGTTGAGTTTATGTACCTACAGAATTTCAGCAATTCTATTTTACTGTATTTATAATTTGTTATTCCTAAATCTTTTTTTTTTTTTTTGGAAATAGAATCTCACTGTCACCCAGGATGGAGTGCAGTGGCATGAGCTTGGCTCACTGCAACTTCTACCTCCTGTGTTCAAGCAATTCTTCTGGCCTCAGCCTCCTGAGTAGCTGGGATTACAGGCACCAGACACTGCACCTGGCTAGTTTTTGTATTTTTTAGTAGAGATGGGGTTTCTGCCATGTTGGCCAAGCTGGTCTTGAACTTCAGACCTCAGGTGATACACCCACCTTGGCCTCCCAAAGTGCTGGGATTACAGGTGTGAGCCCCCACGCCCAGCCAAATTCCTAAATCTTAACTCAAATTCTAGACACATTTTTTTTTCTTTTGTCTTGGCTAGAACAAGACCTAGGAAATGGTAAACTGGATCACTGCCTTGAGTTTTGGGAGCTCTGCAAAGCTGGTAGAAGAGCCTAGCTATTTCCAAGGAAAGTTAAAAAGACCTCATGCGTCTACAGTAGTCTCACTGATAATCCTCATCTTCTTCAAATCAACTACTTCTCCCCAGTTTCAGACTTGCATAGTTACCCTTCCGAATTTTTTCTCCGTCATTTTGCATTTGATATATTTTTAACTTCATGTCATCTGTAATGAAATATTTAAGTGGAGATGAGTATATGGTATTATTGTAACCAAGACTACACTCTGGGGATATGAGTTAGTCATGAATTTTTATCCTGATTCAAGATATTTATAAACATCAAAATTAGAGATGTGGAAAATATGATCTTGCTTTGTGTGTTTTAAAGAACTGGAAATTATTTCCGAGTTGTTTGATTGAAAAGGAGATCTATAAAATTGCCACCTCACAAAACATTGAAGGGTTTACTGCTTAGTTACAAAATAAAAATTCTTACTATGGAACAAGTAGTAATCTCTTTAAAAGGGGTCTTCATATTGCAGAAGACATTATAATAAATCCTCTTTAGAAAATATACTGATTTTTTATGGTTGGTATTTTACTGAATCCCTTTTCTTATTTGTCAAGGACAAAAATAGTTCTCAGAGGATGTTTTCTTTCTTTCAGTCCAAAAAAGTAAAAATGTTTATAACCAAACAAGTGAGCTTGAGACAAAAACAAAAGCAAAAACAAAACAAAACAAAAACCCCAGATGCTGTTATTTTGAGGAATGCACCAAGGGGAATTGTGGAGGGTTGTGAAGAACTGATTTATACTTGTATGTTTGCAATAATAATTGAACAAAAAATTATACTCCAAATCGATTATATTTTATGTGTTTTCTGTTTTCAAATGTGTTAAGATGAGAAAGTTTCTCTTTAAATTTACGAGGATTTTGAATGCTTAAATTGTTCCCATGACTCACATTAATACCAAGTGGCCTCATGGTGAGAAAAGAATAGTTCCTAGAGTGTCTAAATGACATTCTGAAATTGGTCCTATCAATTTTACTATGTCACTACTCTTCTCATTTTTTATCTATTTCACATTTGAAACAGGAAATGAAGTTATGGTAAAAAACATTTGTAAAAACCAGTCTACCTGTTGAGGATGAGTGTAGACCCTTGAAAAGCTAGAGCTGGCAGGGCACAAGTCATTGAAAATATTCAGGAAGACAACATGGATAATATTTCCAGTCTTTCAGGGAAAAAGATTTTGCCCTAGGAAAAAATCAAGATACTGGAATGAGAAGTCAGGTAACATTTTACTTTGTTACCAAAGAATCTTACATAGAGCATTTCTTAGAACGTTTCTCTCGGAAACAGACCTAAGTGACTGACCCCTCCACAATTTATATTAAAAAGGACTTGCTAAGATTCTAAGATATTTCAAGTAAAATGTAACTCATTATCATAATTTTTCTGTATTTTACAACAGTGCTACCTACAAATATGATTAAACATGCAGGGCTAAAATAATCTATGGGTAGTGGATCTTGATATATGTCCCCCAAACTCAAATTCATAGGTTGAAGCCCTAGCCCCCAATGTGACTGTATTTGGAGATAGGGCTTTTAGGATGTAGTGAAGGTTAAATGTGGTTATAAGGGTGGGGTCCTAGTCTGATAGGATTGGTAGCCTTATAAGAAGAGGAATAGAAAGAGTTATTTCTCTCTCTTTGCCATGTGAGAACTCAGTAAGAAGATGGCCATTTGCAAGCCAGGAAGAGAGCCCTCACCAGAAACTGAATCAGCCAGAACCTTAATCTTATACTTTCAGGCTCCAGAACAGTGAGAAATAAGTTTCTCTTAAGCCACACAGTCTACAGTATTCTGGTGTGACTACTTGAGCAGATGAATGTAACTTCTTTAGCAATATTTCCAATAAGTAGCCAGAACTTGTGATTTAAACTATTTCTGACCCAGCTTCTATATGTCCGTATGCAATTCACAGTTCACAGTGTAAGGACCAAACTGTGATGCAGGCTGAGTTGGCTTTTGGAACCATGAAGCTCCAAGCTTTCTGACTTTTACTTTCGTAATGTTTCACCTCAGCTTGATTTCAAGCTACATTTTACCTGAAATATCAAATAAGGGTCTGTTACCAACAAGTTTCCACTTGAGGACAAGTAGTCTCTCAGCATTGTTCTTGCTTTAAGTCTCTTAAATTCAAATTTTTAATGAAAGGCTAACAAAATGGTGGTTGTAATTGTTTTTGGTTGTTGTTTTTATAAAGGTGGGTTGTTTTACCATTTGTTATCATGGAAATCATACCACTTTTTCAGGAAGGACTTAAAGGCTAATCTCATGAGTTGTTTTAGAGTGATGTGGAGACTGAGGTATCACAAGATAGAGGGCTTATTTCCATGTGCAGCTCTGCTCTGCTCTTTCTGGAATAATAATCTTTGGGCTGGTCCAGCTGGATTTATTATAAGCCTATTAACAGGAATGACGAGAGTGTTGAGGTATTGCTCAATGTTTTGTCTGTTTATTTTTGAGTTCCAGCCTCAGGATTAAGAGACTGCTTTACCTTGTATAAGTGTTTCCTCAATGCCAGATTTTTTTTTCTCCTTTTCTTTCCCCAAGCACCAAGACCAGCTGTCTTCTTTTACACTCTTTTCTTCCTCTGCCTCCTAAGGCTCAGATTCCAGCAATTAAAAATTCATTATTTACTGTCTCCTCTCTCTTTACAGCATAGAGTTATTGCTATAGATGTCAGAGGCAATTTTTCAGTGATTGGATCATCCGTTGCTTCAGGCCCATTGATATCCAGTGTCTTGGTCTGTTTGGGCTGCTATAATAAAATACTTTATTTAGGCTGAGCAATTTATAAACAACAGAAATGTAGTCTTCACAGTTCTGGAGGCTGAGAAGTTCAAGATCAAGGTGCTGGCAGATTCAGTGTCTGGCGAGTGCCCAGTCCTCGTAGACGGTGCCCTCTATGTGTGTTCACATAGTGGAAGAGACAAATAGGTTCTCTCAGGCCTCTTTTATAAGGGCATTGATGCCATGAATGAGGGCAGAGCCCTCATGACCTAATCACCCCCCAAAGACCCCACCTCTTAATGCTATCACCTTAGGAGTTGGGTTTCAGCATAGCAATTTGGGGGGGGACACCAACATTCAGGCCATGGCATCCAGGACACAAGAGAATAACCTTCCTGGATGGTACTGAACAATGATGTTCTCGTGAGCGAAGAGTAAGCCTTGTACATGTCTCTAGATCCAGTTTTATGGTCCATGGCTTGTGGGAAATATTTGTTAACTGACTGGTTAGGTAACTGATGCATGAACAAAAGTAAATGGGTGGGAAACAGCTAGGTGCTGCCTAACAGCCTCAGCAGTGAGGTGGAAATTGGACAGAAGAAAATAAGCTCAGTAAATATGAAGAACCATAAAAACCAACATTCCTGGAACATAGGGCATTGTGGGTAAACAGGAGCTCCCAGAATTCTCTATAGAATTATGTAGGACTCCAGGTTATTTTCTGGGGAATGTGGCTATGTATAGATGTGTGCAAATACCAATGTATGGATCACACTGCACAGAACATAAGAGATATGAGTTACAAAAACCACCCCAACCGTGAGAAGAGATAAGCTACAAAGTGTGTTTTGAATCTGTAAGAGTTATATTGATTGTAACCACTTAATTCTCTAGTAATCATGAAGCATAATGTCATCTATGTAAAGTGGTAATTCTATTGTGAATGATAGAATACTAAATTACATTGAGCAATACGTGCTTTTTATTGTGTATTATGCAGGTAGCAGGGTTTGGTGCCACAAATTCAAAAATCTATGTGGATATGATCACTGACAAGTCTCCTATGCCACAATGCCTGACACATAATAGGTCTTACTAAATATTTATTGTTGAATGAAGTTGTAGGCAATTACGCAGAAATCTTCAACTATGGAATTTAAGTAGCATTGAGCCACTTGTGTTCTCTCTTAATCTCTGACAAAATCACTTGGAAAACATTTGCATTAAGATAGGTACATTTTTCAATAAGATTTTTATTTTTGTTCAATTTTTGTCTCTTTGGCCAACCTAAGACAGGAATTTGATTATTATCAATAGTGATCCAAAGGAGTTGGAGATTTAAAAATATGTACTGTGTATTTTTGCGGTGAGAGAAAATTCGATAGCCTTTTTAATTTATTTTTTTCCAGCTTAATTAAAGTATACTTGACAAAAAATATTTGTATATATTTAAGATGTACAACATGATGTTTTGGTGTACACATACATTGTGAAATGATTACGACAATCAAACTAATGAACATATTCATCATCTCACATAGTTACGCTTTTTTGTGTGTGTGTTGAGAACACTAAAGATGAACTCTCTTAGGAAATTTCAGATATACAATATATTATTATTAACTATAGTCACCAGGCTGTACATTATTACATTTCCCGGTACTTACTCATTGTGCATAACAAAACCTTAACACACTTTGACCAACATCGCCACATTTGTCCCAACCCCCAGTTCTTGGTAACCAACATTTCACTCTGCTTTTATGAATCTTACTTTTTTAGATTCCATATATAAGTGAAACCGTGCAGTATTTTTCTTTCTGTGTCTGGCTTATTTCACTTAAAGTAATAACGTCCTTCATGTTCATCCCATGTTGTTCCAAATGGCAGGATTTCTATCTTTTCTTTAAGCCAGAATAATACTGTATTATATGTATATATACATATATGTATACAACAATTTATTTTTAATTTAAATCAGAGAACAAATATAACGAATAGCCGACTAAGTGAAAGGTGCATAGAAGATAATTTCTGTGCTCAAATCCAAGTCTGGGTAAAAAAGACATAAAAACAGTCATGTGTCACTTAACGGAAGCGAATACGTTCTAAGAAATATGCCACTGGGCAATTCTGTCATTGTGCAAACATCATAGAGTGTACTTATATAAGTCTAGATGGTAGAGTCTACTACACACCTAGGCTAGATGGTACAGCTTATTTCTCCTGGGCTACAAAGATGTTGCACAATATGTTGCTATACTGAATAGGATAGGCAGTTGTAATCGGTGTTAAGTATGTGTGCATCAAAACATACTAAACATAGAAATCATGTGTTGTGTTATGACATTATAATGGCTATGATGTCACTGGGTGATAGGAATTTCTTAGTTCCATTGTAATCTTATGAGACAATAGTCATATATGTGGTCCATCATTGATCAAAGCATTGTTATGCAGCACGTGAATGTATACGAAAAATGACTGCTAAACACAAAGGGCGAGGGGTTCAGATTAGAGAGCTGGACCTAGATCACATCTGAATCAAAGCAGTGGAAGACCAATACTAAGCTAGAAAAGTTATTGTAAACAGGAACAGAGAACACAGATGTGAACTCTAAAGGCGCAGCATCAGGTCACAAAATTTACCACCTCCTTTCTCCTAGTGAATGACTTCCCTCACTGCACTCCACAGAGAGAATAGCTTTCACGCAGGAGGTCCTGCAACTTCCCACCCATTCGAACCATTCTGATTTCCAAATACAATGATTATAAGCAATCCATTCCTAGGTAATAGTACACATTTTTTTTAATTTCACAGATAAAGAAAATAAATTCTATAAGCATGAAAGCAGAAGAAAAAACCTAGGTAATGGTAACATACTATCTTTGGTTTCTCAATAGGATGTGTGTGTGTGCATGTGCGTGTGCGTGTGTGCGTGTGTATGTGTGTAAAGAGATTTATTATAAGAAATTGAGTCAGTGGACTGGAGAATCAGGAGAGCCAATGGTTTAAGTTCCAGTATGAACTGAAGACTGGCAGGTGTGAGTCCCAGGAAGAGACGTACTTTAGTTCAAGTACAAAGGCAGGAAAAAACCACTGTCTCAGTTTAGAGGCCACCACACAGGAGGAATTCTCTCCATTACTCAGGGAAATTTTGGGGGTTCCAATCAGGCCATCAAGTGATTGGATAAGGCTCACCCACAAAAGGAAGTGTAAATTTTGCAACAAGTCAGTTTAGTGATTTAAATGTTAATTGCATCCAAAATCCCCCTCACAGAAACACCCAGAATAAGAGTTGACCAAATAAATGGGTAGTCTGTGGCCCAGTCAAGTTGACACATAAAATTAACCATCACACATACAAAGGCTAGCGTCAGACTTTGTCTCCATTATTCTGTATATCAAACAACAATAGTCACACATTTGTGAGGGAAAAGATTGCAGTCTAAGAATTCTGTATCCTGCAAAGTGTTATTCACATGTGATAGCAA